ATAATATTTTTCCTTTAGAAAGACACAAATTGCAGAAATCCCGGAATTCTTCTTAGGAAATGTTATCATCATTTAGCATCTCCTTCACTTTGAAAGAGAATAGGTTATTTATGACTCCGCTTGACTTCATGAATTCCTTTTACGAGGCCTTGAGCAATATATTCTTCTTTACTCTTCACTTCCAGCCATTTAAGCCATATATTCTTCTCTTACTCTTCACTTGAGGCCAATTTAGCCATATATTCATCTCTTACTTTTCACTTGAGGCCATTTGAGCCATACATTCTTCTCTTACTCTTCCCTTCAGGCCATTTGAGCCATATATTCTTCTCTTACTCTTCACTTCAGGCCATTTGAACCATATATTCTTCTCTTACTCTTACTTCACGCCATTTGAGCCCTATATTCTTCTTTTACTCTCATTTCAGGGCTTTTTTTTTTTTTAATATATAAATTTAACAAGATGCAAATTGTATCCAAGGAGCCAAAAGAGGCAAGTCTTTCAACCCATTTCTTCTTCTTCTTCTTTGATTTGTAGAGTCTTAAGTTAGACTCATTATTTTTGTTCTTTCAGTTTGCTGCATGTGCATATATATTTATTATAGTAGCTTAGATTTTTCTTATTATCCTACATATATATAAGATCTTGAAGTACTTGAGATGAATGACCATTATTCTAATTAATATTCATTCCCAATTTGAATCCAATTAGAACATAAAGTTCATATTATGCTGCAATATTCATTGTCTAATACTTATAAAGTTCATTGTAGATTTACCACGAATAAACGAGAAAATAAATCATGGAGGATTACGTTGCTGCTTCAGGAAGCACCTCAACTGAAGAAAATGTTGAGATTGTGATTGCTCCACCTAATAAACAAATGGATGGTACGATTTGACATTGCAATGACTGTTGCATCCGTTTTTTTAGATGCATTTTCTGAATATCATTTAGTGTCTAAGTTCGCGTTAATTTTTTTCCATTAATCTCTCTCTTGTTTTGATGTAATTATGAAGTGCTTTTGAAGTTCCAGGGTTAAAAATAGATATTAAATTTTTATTGATGGTTAATTTCACAAATTCCTCTTTCTATTATAAGAAAGCATTATATATATACATAATGGTACAATACAATTAGCTGATGTTTATATATCACATCAATCCAAGTAAAATGTATATACTTGTTTAATCATTAGATTTTTTTATTACAACAAAATGTACCAAAGACTTTCTCATCTTAAGACGATCATGTGTGAAATTGGATCTCTCAACAGTAAACACTTTTTTTTTTGGTTTTGGAGTGCCGGATTATGCAAAGAAAAGAAAAAAACAGAAGAGCGCCAACTTGTTGCTTTCATTAACCAACCAAATACATAATATAACATTTTATCAGTTCAATGTTACAACTACTACAGCAGTGAGCTTTTTACATGATCAAAGGTAAACCACACAATTTGAACAACCATAATACAATTAAGAGACATAAAGCCTCATATTCAGCTGGATTCACCTAAACACATCCTAACACAAAAAGTTAACAAGTTTCTCCTAAGCTACTACTCCTAACACAACACCATGCACTTCACTTCAATGGCGGCAAAAAACATCTTCAAACTTCAGTCCTTGCACAATGCACTTCCAGCAAAGCATCATAACTTCATCACTCCTCCTTGATGCTTTTGTTGGAAACACCAAGTTTTAGCCTTAAGTCTTCAAACTTGGCTTTAGACAAGGCTTTAGTCATAATGTCCGTAACTTGATTTTCTCCTTGGCAATGCACTAAACTGACTTCACCACATTGTTCAGCTTCCCTCACGGCATGATACTTTATCTTAATATGTTTAGTTCTGCTGTGGAGTACAAGATTTTTGGCCATGGCGACAACTGATTGATTATCACACAAAATCAGTGTTGGACTTCCCTAAACTTGCTGCAAATCATGCAGAATTTTCCTTAGCCATACAGCTTGGTTTACTGCTGCTGCTGCTGCAGAGATATATTATGCTTTAACAGTGGACTGAGCCATAGTCTCTTGCTTCCTTGATAACCAACTAATCGCACCTTGGTTTATGTAAAATACATAACCAGAGGTACTCATCAAATCATCCAGGGAACCCCAGTCACTGTCAGTATACCCCAACAGCTTTAAGCTTTCTGATTTTTTAAACCAAATGCCTAACATGGTGCTTCCTCTCACATACCTCAAGACTCTCTTGGCTACTTTGAAATGCAACTCACTTGGGTTACTCATGAACCTGGAAAGGTAGCTTGCAGTGAACATGAAGTCAGGCTTGGCAGTTGTGAGGTACAACAGACAACCTACCAAGCTCCTATATTTTCCCTCATCCACTCTCTCTACACCATCTTATTTACTCAGTTTCAGGTTGGGAACCAGTGTGGTATCTACTAGTTTACAACTTTCCATGCCAAACTTCATTAGTATCTCAGTTGCATACCTCTGCTGGCACACGAAAATTCCATTTGGAGACTAACTTATCTCTATGCCCAAAAAGTAGGTCATCAGCCCCAAGTCTATCATTTCAAACTTAGTTTGCATGGATGTCTTAAACTGATTCAGCTCTTCAGAATTACTTCCAGTAATCAATAGATCATCAACATATAAAGAGACCACAGTCAATCCACTTTTAGTCTTCCTAATATAAAGTGTGTGTTCATTTGGACTCCTAGTGTATCCTAGGTTGCATAAGTGGTCATTTATCCAGTTATACTAGGCTCTAGGAGCCTGCTTTAGGCTATACAAAGCCTTCCTCAGCAGGTACACTTGGTCCTCTTTTCCTTTAACCTTATAGCCTTCCGACTGCTCCATATAAATCTCCTCTATAATTCAGCCATTCAAGAATGATGATTTGACATCTAACTGGAAAATTTCCTAGTCAAATTGGGCTGCAAGTGTAAGCAATAATCTAATGGTGTCATGCTTGGCTACAAGAGCAAAGGTATCAGAAAAATCAATCCCTTGCTACTGTGCAAAACCTTTAACCACAAGTGTTGCCTTATGCTTATGGACTGATCCATCAGGGTTAATCTTCAGCTTGTAAATCCATTTCACTTGGATCACCTTCCTCTTTTATGGTTTGTCAACTAATCTCCAAGTGTTGTTCTTCTCAATCATGGTAAGCTCCTCCTGCATTGCAGCCTTCCATTCATCAGACTTTGCTGTTTCATTATAATTCTGGGGTTCAACCATAGCCACATTACATCTTTCGTATACTTCAGCTAAGGATCTAGTCCCTCTCACTGAATGTTCTTCATCTTCATCAGAATCTGCCTCTCGGATCAGCTCCCCTCTTATCTCTTCCTGCCTTGGCTTAACTTCCTCATCTATTCTCTTCTCTTCCCAATTCCAGACTGCAGTTTCATCTACCTTTACATCCCTTGTAATCACAATTTTCTTTGACTCAAGGATGTAAACTCTATAACCTTTGGATTGGTTGTTATATCCTATGAAAATTCCTACCTCAACCTTGTCATCCAGCTTAGTTCTCTTGCTTGTTGGAACCATGACATAACATATGCTTCCAAATATTCTCAGGTTTCCCACTACTGGTTTAGCTCCACTCTAGGCCTCAACTGAAGTTTGTTTTTTGACTGTTTTAGTTGGTAGTTTGTCCAGGAGATAAACTCCTGTATTAACAGCCTCAACCCAGAACATCTTGGGGAGCTTCTTTTCTACCATCATGCATCTTGCCATCTCCATGATAGTTATGTTTCTCCTCTTACTAACACCATTCTGCTGTGGAGTGTAAGAGGTAGTAAACTGGTGTTGAATTCTAGTTCTTGGTAGATTGAACAGAATTCACTTGACGAGTATTATGTCTTGTTATCCCTCCTTATGGCCTTGATCATTGTCCCAGCTTGGTTCTCCACCAGCAGCTTGAACTTTCTACATACAGCGGCTACCTCATTTTTCTACTTCAGGAAATATACCTAGGCCATCCTAGAGTATACTTCCATTCAATGATTCAGTCTTCATAGGACGACACACATCTGTGTGGATCAACTGCAATTTGTCACTGGCTCTTCAGGCTTGATCTGATGGAAAAGATGGTCTGCTGAGTTTGCCAAGTTGGCAGGCTGTGTAAAGATTCTTCTTCTCTTCTATTTCGGGTAATTCTAGGACCATGTCTCTAGTGCTAAGTTCTTTGAGACCTAAGTAGTGAAAATGGCCTAACCTTTTATGCCAAAGTTTAGACTCTTAGATCTACTAGTCAGTGCAAAGTTTTCAGACTTTTTCCACTCTACCAGGAAGCTCTTCCCCAATATTCTAACATTCATCAGCTCATTTCCCTCACTGTCTAGTATAATGCATGATTGGTTTAGAAAGTGCAGGGTATAATTCTTTTCTAGCATTTGTCCTACACTAAATAGATTTTGTGTAATTTCTGACAGTGTTCTAAAAACCGAACCGGATTGCCCGGTAGGACCGGTTCGATAGGCAACCGGTAGCAAATCTGGTCCGGTATATATAAAAAACTGCTATTTGAAGTTAAACCGGATTGGATTGCGGTTGGACCATCAGAATAGTGCCGAATCGCGGTCCAATCGCAGCTAAACCCCACCAGATTTTGGCATCTTTCAACGGAGAAAACACCCTCATTTGACGGACGACATCTCCATAACCAAACCTATCCATTTTCAGTCGCCGTCGTCCAGCCTTCGTCAATCACCATCCACCTAAAGTTTACGGCTTTATGCGACGTCAGATTTCTTTCGTTGATTTCGATGAGTTCCGACGTCGATGGAACTCCGTCGCACCACCATCAGAGTCGCCGGCACCTGCACATCAAAAGCCCTAAGATTCCAGCTTTGATTGGCCGTCGATCGTCGCTACCGCCACACTCACCAGAATCTTCGTCCATAGGGGTGTTTTAGATTGATTTCAAACCTTAAGGGAGTATTATAGGGGTGTTTTTGATGAATTTCAAGCATTTAAGGACTAAAATATAATTTTATAAATTACGGTCCAACTAATCAATCTAACCGGTCAAACCAAAAATTGGACCCTTGAACGGGTCATTGTCCGGTCCGGTTTTCAGAACATTGATTCCTGATACATAGAAGACACTTGAGATAACTTTAGTACCTGATTGTGTTAGGACATCAACATCCCCAATTCCTTTGGCTTCCACATATTCTCCATTTCCAATTTTGACTCTAGAGTTGTAGGTCTTGTCCAGCCTAATGAAATTCTGCAAGTTGGCTGCCATGTGGTTGGTGCAGCCATTGTCTATCAGCCACACTTCACTGCTGGTCTAAATTGTGTAACATGAAGCTACAAACAGTTGTTCAGACTCACTGCCTTGCTGTTGATCCTCTGCAGATTGAGCTTGCTGTGACGGCTGTGCACCTTTGTTCTTGCACATCTTCTCAATATGTCCAAACTGTTTGCAGGCTTTACATTAGATCCCAGGCCTAAACCAGCACCTGTTCTCTGAGTGACCCTTCTTCTTGCAGTGATGACATAGTGGATAACTCTTTGTTCCACTTCGTTTTCCCCACTGTCCATTAGTTTTCTCTTTTCCTTTCTTGTCTCCGGCATACCTTCTATTATTCTCCTACACATTCCTTCCTTTTTGAGCTACCACCATAGCACCTTCATTAGTGTCCTCCTGCCTCATCAATCTTCTTTGTTCTTAAGCCTGTAGTGCATGGACTAAATCAGTGAGACTAATTTGTGACAGTTCCTTTGATTCTTCTAGGGAGGAAATCTTGGATTCAAACCTCTCGGGTAAGCTCACTAGCACCTTTTCAACAATCATCTTATCACTTATTCTACTCCCAATAGCTTGATATTATTAACCACACTCATAAGCCTATCCACATATTCTTTCACTTTCTCCACTTCTTGCATTCTCAACATCTCAAATTCTCTCCTCAAGTTCATCACTTGCATGTTCCTTGTTGTATCACTTCCCATGAATTCCTCTCTCAGTTTATCCCAAGCTTCTTTTGCTATTTCACACACCATTATCCTTGTAAACATAAGGTCTGTCACTGCCGAATGTATACGAGATAGGGCCCTTGGAGCCTTTGACATTTCTTCTTCATACAACCTCATTTGATTCAGAGTGGGGTTTGGACCAAGCTGTGGTGGTTGTTTCTCTTCCTCAACATACTGTCAAAGCCCCTGCCCTCTTAGATAGACTTTCATTCTAACAGCCCAAATATGGTATTGGTCACCATTGAACACTGGCGGTGAAAGGGAGGTTGACTAAGCTGCCATGAATATAGATTATAGTTTGGGACAGAGTTGTTCTTTAAAGAGGCTGGAGTTTGATGATGATTCAAGGTTAGGCTTTCATTCTAACAGCCCAAATATGACATTGGTCACCATTGAACACTGGCGATGAAAGGGAGGCTGACTAAGCTACCATGAATACAGATTATAGTTTGGGACAAAGTTATTCTTTAAGGGGCTGGAGTTTGATGATGATTCAAGGTTAGTTTTTGGGTTTATATGGAGGTCTGGTAAGCTGGCTCTGATACCATTTTGTTGGTTTTGGAGTGCTGGATTATGCAAATAAAAGAAAAAACTAAAGAGTGCCAACTTATTGCTTTCATTAACCAACAAAATACATAATATAACATTTTATCAGCTGACTGTTACAACTACTACAGTAGTGAGCTTTTTACATGATCAAAGGTAAACCACACAATTTGAACAACCATAATACGATTAAGAGACATAAAGCCTCATATTCAGCTGGATTCACCTAAACACATCCTAACACAAAAAGTTAACAAGTTTCTCCTAAGCTCCTGCTCCTAACATAGCACCATGCATGCACTTCACTTCAATGGCGGAAAAAAAAATCTTCAAACTTCAGTCCTTGCACAATGCACTTCTAACAAAGCATCATAACTTCATCAGATGTGATAAAGAGATGTCAGTCACTGCTTGGGATGCAGCGCGTGAAAGAGAGAAATAAGCTAAGCTTGAGGGATCAAATGAATGAGAAGGAGCAACAAATGAATGAGAAAAAGCAAAGCAGGAGGAAAAGGCTAGGCTGGAGGTATCAGGTTTATGAGGCGAAAAGTCAAGTGCATTGCGAGTATTTGCTTGAATTTTTTTATTTTTTATTTTTTACCTTAGCTTTGACGAGGTTTTTAATTATTTTTTAACATTCAGGTATAAAATAGTGAAAATGAAGGTATTTAATATTTATGGGTGCACTACTAGAATCGCCCCAATATTAAATACAAATGAAAATTCTCATGTGTAGCATAAAATATAGAATTAAATTTCGATTAACAAAAGTTAATTATTGTCTATGAGCATTTTTAGTGTCTCGTTAAGAACATAAATCAAGTTCCTCACTGGTATTTTCCTCATCCTCAACTTTCTGAAACTAATGTTGGCTTTGGCTGAACTAAACTTCTTGTTTCAGACACTAGTCAAGAGATTCTTGATTCAGCTTTTGAACTAGTCGAATGTCTTTGGAAACAAGTTATGCCTTGGTTTTGGATGACTCCCAGATTCAGGAAATTATTAGAAAACCTTGGTCTCTAATATTTGAGGCTGCAAAACAGGGAAACCTTCGGTTTCCAGACATAATTTTCTCCAAATATCCTGACCTAATGTTTGAAGTTGACAAAAATAATTACACCATACTTCATGTTGCTGTTATGTATCGTCACAGTAACATTTTCAATGTCGTGTATCACATCGGTCCATTTAAGGATTTGGTAGTTCGAGACACAGATAAAGAAGGGAACAATATCTTGCATTTGGCTACAAAATTGCCACAAGTAGATACACCCGATATTGAATCCTCTGCATTAAGGGACCAAGGACATTGCAAATGCCTGCATCATGGTGTCAGCAATTATTGCCACCATGGTTTTCGCTGCACTTTTCACTGTACCAAGCAGCACCAAGGAAAATATAGGGACTCCATTTTTTTTTGTGAAGAGCTTCCTCTATAGTTTTTGCAATATCAGATACTATAGCATTACTATTGTCCTTTTTCTCCATAACGATGTTCTTATCGGTTATCTCTTCCCGATGTGAAGAAGTAGATTTCTTTTAGCAAATAATTGATGATTTGGGTCTTGGCATAAACTGTTAGGATCCCATATTGAAAGGGAAAAGGGTGGGCATGTGGGTTATAAAGGCTTGGGCACCTTTCCTTGGCAAGCCGATTTTCCAAGGAGAGTTATACCCAAGCCCATGAAAGACCCATGGCCCAGCCCAAATTGTTGAGTTATTGGAGTGGGTTCCTATCAATTGGTATCAGAGCATGATCCTGCACACATGTGGTAGGATGACCTTGGGCCCCAGCTGCTACCCCAAGGAAAGGGGATTCGCAAAGTCACCCAAGGGGTAAAGAGGCCGACATGGAGCCCATGTAGTAGGGCCTAGTGGGCCTCCCGAGTGGTCGAGAATGAGAGTTGCTGACAGGCTTCTAGGGCCTAACAAGCTTCTAGATGAAATAAGACCCAAAGGGAGGGTAATAAAGGCCGATGAGGGCAGGGTAGCCGATGAGGGCAGGCGCTCTCTAGAAAGAAGACCAACAAGGGCGTTGGGTCTCAAAGCGTGTGGAAATGTTAGGATCCCATATTGAAAGGGAAAAGGGTGGGCATGTGGGTTATAAAGGCTTGAGCACATTTCCTTGGCAAGCTAGTTTTTCAAGGAGAGTTCTACTCAAGCCCATGAAAGACCCATGGCCTAACCCAAATTGTTGAGTTATTGGAGTGGGTTCCTATCATAAACTTACTTCTATACTTTGTAGAAGCAATGGTGGTAGTGTTTTCTACAACTATGTTCATTGGCTTCAAAGATGGGTGGCTATCTGTGCTTGTTCTTTTAACGGTAATGGATGTTTTAACAACGTTAATGTACATGGGTAAAACTTGGACTGTGATGGGCCACCGATAGTCAAATGTGGTATAACCGCAAGAGGCAAAGTGGGAAAAGTCATACATGACAAGTGGAGCAGTAACACAACAAGTGTGATGAGTTTTTTTGATAGATGGAACAACAACATAGCAAGCATGACGAACAAAGGAATAGAAGGAGAACCAACAGAGGGAATAGGCATTGAGAATGTTGTTGGGAATTGTTAGGAGGAGCTGACCCTCGAAGATCAGCCTGAGTTCTTTTTTTTTTTTTTTACTGTTTTTAGCAATATTTCCATTTATGTTTATTTCACTGTAATTTGTTACAGAATATCAATCCAAATATCCTTATAACTAAGACAATCATTGTTTATATTCTGTTCATGAAGGATTTTAGCCTAAAATGATTGATTGAATGCATGAGTAACTGAGTTATTCTGGTTGGTTCCATCAGATTGGTATTAGAGCCAAGACTAATTCAGGGCATGGTTGGTACAAGGATGGATAATAGAATAGACAACGTTGAGAAGGATGTAGCTAAAATGACTGAGACGGTGAACACAATGAGAGAGATTTTAATCGATATGCAGAATTGGAAGCTTAAAAAAGATGAAAAAGAGGAGGAACGAAGAAAAAATTTTGGTGGAAACTCGAGTCGTGTAAGGGTTTAACACAATGAACAGGGACCTCACGAGAATATAAGAAATTAGGGAGGAGCTACTGGAGGGGGAAACTCTAAAGTCAGAACACAGGAGAATCAGCAAGGTAGCCCATTCGGGGAAGCTTGGAACCAAGGTGGTAGAGGTTGGTACCGATGTGAATAGAAGGGTAGAAAATTGGAGTTACCCATTTTTTCTGGTGAAGACCCATACGGATGGATATTTAAGGTGGAACGTTACTTCACTTTCAACTTGATAGCTGAAGAACATAGAGTGGCAGCAACTGCACTGTGCATGGAGGGAGAAGCTCTCCATTGGTATCAATGGCTAGAAAACTGGTTGATGATAAGTAATTGGTAGGATTTCAAAATAGCTCTCTCCCAAAGGTTTAGCGAAACCCAAGAAGTGAGTCCCTTGGAGCTGCTAATGGCCACCAAGCAAACAGGAACAGTTTTGGATTATCGCCACAAATTTGAAGAAGTGGTAGCTTTAATGGTAGATGAGAAGGAAGAGGTGCTCACTATTGCATTTCTGAATGGGCTTAGACCTAAAGTAAACGCTGAAATCAAGCTCCAGCAACCCAATCTCATATTGCAGTCGAATTCACTGGTTAGTGTGGCCCAGTTGGCCCAGCGAGTGGAGGAAAGAAATAGAACTGTGGAAGAAGCCAAGATTCGGGTTGTGTGCTCAGTTAAATGGAATTCATCTCCTTTTGGTCCAAGAGCCTATACCCAGCCAACCCGACCTGATGAAACCAATAAAACCCAACACACCCTTGACCCAAGTCAACACTTATCAACCTACTCAGCTCAACAACCACCTACTCGACGTAGCCCAAGCAAAACCCACTCCAGCCTCAACTCTCTATCGTCAGTCAACTTCTGACCAGGTCCAGTTCGATGGGAGTTTCCTTTCTAGCGAATGATGGAGGTCGAGATCCAACAAAAATGAGAAAGGGGCTTGTGTTATCATTGTGACGCGAAGTATTCTCTGGGTCATAGATGTGGGGATAAGCAGGTACAGGTTTTATTGCTGGAGGATG